ATTGAATTCTGGACTTCAGTGATCCCTTCAGCTCCGAGGTGAAGCCGAGAATCCTGCTTCTGGCCCAGAGGAGGAGTGGCAAGTCCTCTATTCAGAGCTGTCTTTCACAAAACGCGTCCCAACAAAACACTGTTCTTGGAGAGTACTAACAAGTTATGCCGGGAAGACATTTCCAACAGCTCCTTTGTCAATTTTCAGATTTGGGACTTCCCAGGATAGATCGACTTTTTCAACCCTAAATTTGACAATGAGATGATCTTCAGGGGAACAGGAGCCCTAATATTTGTCATGGAAGCCCTAGCCGGCTCCATCTCACAGTGACCAGGGTCTACAAGGTGAACATCGACATCAACTTTGAAGTGCTTATTCATAAAGTGGATGGTCTGTCAGATGACCACAAAATTGAAAGCCAAAGAGACATTCACCAGAGGACAAATGATGACCTTGCAGATGCTAGCTTAGAAAAAATTTACCTCCGATTTTACCTGACAAGCTTATGTGATCACTCAACATTTGAAGCTTTTAGCAAGGGGGTTCAGAAACTGATTCTACAGCTCCCAAATCTAGAGAATTTGCTAAACATCTTTATCTTAAGTCCTGAAGTTGAAAAGGCATTTCTATTTGATGTGGTCAGTAAAATTTATATTGCAACTGATAGCACTCCAGTAGATACGCAAACCTATGAGCTCTGCTGTGATATGATAGAGGTGGTTATCGACATCTCTTGAATTTGTGGTCTTAAAGAAGATGGAACAGGAACCCCCTATGACAAGGACTTGACAGCATTATAAAGCTGAATAATACAACAGTTCTTTATTTAAAAGAGGTGACAAAATTCCCGGATCTCTTTTGCTTCATGAGAGAGGAAAGCTTTGAAAGAAAAGGGCTTATTGACCATAATTTTCATTACTTCTGGAAGGTCACCCATGAAGTTTTTGAGGTGAGAATTAAAGTGGTGAAATCTCGAAAGGGTCAGAATTGGCTACAGAAAAAAAGGATCTACCCCTTATGGGACCCCTCAAATGCTGCTGTAGGTGAGGTTTCAGGAACATCTTTGAAATCAGATCTTTTTGATTGGGCCGCTGCACTACATTACACTAAAGAAAGAGGAAGGAGACTGGATTGCCTGGCGTGGATTTGTTTAACAAAAATTCCTTCAACCCTCTTGATCCTCTCTCTCTTTTTTAAATAAAGTAAATTCTTTGAAGCAAAGACTTGTATCTTAACAACGAAGCAAAAACCACTGTACTTTCATTATAAAAATGTAAACTTCTATATTCAGTAGTTAGAAAAATCCCATGTGAGAACTGCCAGGAATTGTACATATTTTGCACTTTTTCATTTTTTTTCTCATTAGACTGAACTTTGATAAGATGACTTTTCTGAACTCTTTTCCTGTTCTTGGTATCAAGGACATGCATACTGTAGCTCATATCCTATGGCAATCAAAAATTAACCAAAATGATACACTGGTAATGATTTTTTGTTAATTGGAACATCTTTGCTACCAGCTATTGAGAGAAATAATTTTTCAGTGGAGCTGGAACAGATTGGGGCTGTAGCTCCAGGAGTAATAAAAACTGTCCCCTACTTATAATGGGTGCAAACAGTTGTATAGAATAATTTTAGCAACAAACTTACCTAAAACGTTCTATTACCACAGTTGTACTTCCTAAATCAACAGTTTTTATGAAGCCGTTTACCTCAATACACACCTCTATAAATCACTTGATACTTGATACAGACAGGTGATTTCTTTTTACTGCATTGTTATTCTTTAGAATCTTTGGGACCAGATTTCCAAAATGGTGCCAAACACTGGAGAGAAATAAGAATGTCACTGAGGCCTGGTATCTGGAGGCTCCTCTGTACCTGCCACTTGGGGCTAAAGTATCATCAGAGGCTAAAGGTTTATCAAATGTAGGGGATTGGCAACTGCAGCCTAAAATACATAGTACAAGTCTGTATGTTTGGCCCCTGTGCAGTGGCCTGCTATGCTATCTTTAAAATCTTATTTAGGACCAGTTTTATATTGCTCCATCGCCATAGCAAATAGAGCACATCTCCACCATGGAACTTAATCCTGTTGGCTGTCTTTGTCACCTGAATTACCTTTCCATCTGTGACAACGGGTCTCGTGTCTTCTACATGTTTTCACATTATGACTAAGCTCCGCTTGCCACCCAGCATGCTCTGCAAGGCTGAAGAGCCATCCTGAAAACCGTAGCGATAGTGAGAAAAAATAGCTAGACAAGAGATTATAGCTTTGCAATTGTTTCAAAGAAGTTCCTTCACTTATGTTCACCTTAGAATAGCAGAAAATAGAGTCCTAACTCTACTCCTGTGCCAAACTATTCCAAGTAGATAATTCTATATCCATTTCAAAGATTAGTAGTCTATGGTACGCTTGTGGGGTATTAGAAAATTTTTTATTTTAAAAAGCCTCTTAGAGACAAGAAAGTTGGTTCTAACAAAATTTATAAATTCCTTAATCAACTTGTCCTTGAAACTGTCCCACTTTTTTTTTCTCTCATTGAGTTTATTGGTACATTTTAGGTGTACAGTACAGTTGCATTCATTATTGGGATCTTGTACCTTTACATGATAGGTCTTGGTTCTCATTTTTCCCCTTGTCCCTGCCCTCCCTTCACCCCCTCTCCCCCTCCCCATTTACAAACACTTTATTTCCATTTTTTCAGTTTCTCAAATTTTTTTCTTTTCCCTTATTACCTTTCCCCTACACTTCCCACTTTCCCTGCTCTCCCACTTATATCAGTGGCTTCTTTCCATCCTTTCTCTCTTCCCTATTCCAAAATCCTATTGCTTTAAAGATGGTAACTAAACTTGAAGATGATAGTTCATTGGGATTCAAGGCTTGAGTCTCCCAAGGATCTGTGCATGTTGAAAGGAGATTTCTAAAAATCATTAATGTACCCAAATTCCCTTCCTTGTTTTCCACTCAGAAACCTGGATGGTTAGAAGTCTAGGGTTCCAGGGAAGTCTTCTTCCTAACTTCCAGAGCTACATCCTGTTCAACAGTTGCCAACAGGCCTGGCTCATGTGGGTAATTTGTTTTTGGTACTGGGGATCAAACTCAGGACCTTGCGCTTGTGAGACAGGTGAAGCGCCACTGAACTGTATAGGTGATTCTTATAGCCTAATTCTTTTTATTTTTTCTTTCTTTCTTTTTTTTTTTTTTTTTTTTTTCGTTCCAGGTATTGAACTCGGGTCCTTGTGCTTGCAAGGCAGGCCACTGAACCACTGAGCTAAATCCCCGGCCCTGCCTAATTCTTGAATATTTTTATGGAATGTTTTTCTAAGCAAATAAAGAATCAAGTTTCTAATACAACTTTATCCTCAAGATAGAGACACTTGCCTATTTGGTAAATCACACTTTACCTAGAACATATATTATTACCCAGTACATATATCCATTTTTAAACTGGGTATAGGATGGGTTTTTGTTAAAATGTGCCTCTGGGCCAGGGATTAGCTCAGTGGTTTTGCCACCTGCCTTGCAAACAACAAGGGCCTGAGTTTGATCCCTGGTACCAAGAAAAAATGTGCTTCAAAAAGCCTATTACTTCAAGACTAAGTGATTCTTTGGGGGAAAGGTAAAAATAACCCTATGACATAGGACCCAAGTTTGTGGTAGTAAGTGCACTCTTTGATTTAACCATATGGTAATATAGATTACTACTTCAAATCTTACGTTACAATGACCTCTTAATTAAAGAAAGATGTAAGAATTCATCTAAGCATTCAGTTTTTCAAGTCTGTGCTATTGGAATCTCAACACCTCTTTAAGTCCTTTTGCATTTTATCTTTGCTATGGTAGTTACCTTTTGGCAGTTTACATAGTTACATTTCATGTTTAACATGCCTATAAAGAGAAAGGCCAAACACATGGCTACAGTGACTGCACTGGACATTTTTGCTCAGTTTTAAGGGTTGAGAACTTGACCTACAAGTTTCTAGAGCAGGACAATCTGTTGGCTTTTGAGTCGATTAGAACTTCTGTGTAGAGGTGTAACTGTGAATTATCAACTTTGGTTATTTTCAGTGATGCAGATTAATATGAATGACCAGTATGAAGTGCTTTTGAGGGAATATAGATTAAAAGTGGTGAACATTCACAAATAGTGTTATTTTGTGAACACAATATATTTTGAAACCTTAAATAAAATAGCTAAAAATTACAGCAATATTGTTATGCATGGGTTACGTGCCAACTCTCTTTGAAACACACTCCAGAAAAACAGCTGACCTATGATTTTCAAAGTAGGCGTGTATTTAAAAAAAGAAATGAATATCTTTCATGTCTTCTAGAGAACTCCTTAGTAAATTTGGCAAGAATCCTCATAACTTCTAAAGACTCTTTTGTGACTCAATGCATTCTGTCAAAGCAAGAGAGCAGTAGTCTGTTCAGCTTTGTCTATTTGATATTTTGTGTCTTATTTTTTAATTTCTAATTCTTTTTTTTAAATCACATAAATAATTTACATTTTTCTATAGGCTTGAATATTTCAAATTAAAAAGCTGGAGGGAAATAATATAATACATACTAGTTATAAAAACTCTTGCATATATAATAGAGTTTAGAGCCCCTGTTTTCTTCCTAATATGACTCCCTTTCCCAGAGATAAGCACAATTAATAGTTTGTTGGAAATAGTTCCAAAATTAATTTCTTTTCATTTACATGTAATTGTGTATATGTACATATATACATTTTATATATATATATATATAAAGCCTTGTAGACATGTAGTGCTAAGTTCATAGTGTTTCAGGATTCCTAGACATTTGTAGATTCTCATTCTTTAAGGAACCCCAAAATTAACAATATACCCTGGACAGTTTTATCTATTACTAGATATAGGTCTACATCATCGTTTATCGATAGCAGCAGGTGTATTGCACAGTATAGATGTGCCACACTATTTAACTGTTCTCTTAGGCTGAATATTTATGTTGTTTCTAATTTGTGTTTTCTCTACAGAACCCCACTCTTCCAGCACTGAACTGTTCTGTTGAAAATGCTCATCCTACTGTTTCGTACTATGCTCGTCCTCAAGTGGCATCATACAATACCTACTACCATAGTCCTCCCCACCTGCCACCTTATTCTGCTTATGACTTTCAGGTATGTTTGGAGAGAGAAAGAATTCTATTCCCCAGATTTTGCTGAAGGTCTCTTGATCCCTCAATTCAGGGGTAGTACTGTCCTATTGTTTTCATAATATATATGAGGTAGTCAGGATGTCCATCCTTGATGGCCTTTAGCAGCCTGGGGGTACCAGTGAATAAATGAAAGACTACATAGGCAGACAATAATAGGAGACTAGAAGGTTGGGAATGGCACAAGAGGGGAAGAAAAAAAAAAGAGAAAGGGTAGGATCAAAGTGTCCCAAATTGTCTTAAACTATATTAAGGAGGAGATTAATTGGCTGGGAAATGGCATTTCTTTATTACATTATCATAGACCTGTGTCTAACAGTGGCTTTATTCATTCCTCTGCATGGGGAGAGGCCTATTCCTGTTCCTTAGCACAAGAGCATTCTGAGCCACATAACCATTTAAATCAAACCTGCAATAAGGAATTTCCTTTACTTTCTTCAGATTTCCTAAGACAACGTAGAAAAACTATTTTTATAACATCCCCTCCCCTTTTGCCCTATTATCACATAGTTCAGAAATAGTGTTACCAAATTTGCACTTTCCCTTTTCCTTTTGGGCTGACACTAAGTGCAGAAAAACAGAACCAAAAATGGCACATAATAAAAATTAGGGATTCAGTGTGTACAGAACACTGAATGAGGTACTTTGAGAGAACAAATGAAATGGTCCTTTAGGTGTATATAGTGACTGCATTAGTTTTCCTTCACTATGACAAATTACCTGAGATAAATAACTTCAGAGGAGGAAAGGCTTATTTTGGCTCATGGTTTCAGAGGTTTCAGTCCATGGTTCTTTGGCCCTGATGCTTGGGGCCTGTAGTGGTACCATACATCATGGCAGGAGTGCGTGGTGCATGAGGCCTGTTCATCTCCTGGAATCCAGGATGTGACAAAGACAAACAGGAAGCATCGAGGATCCCAATATCTACTTTAAGGGTACACCCCCACTGACCTACTTCTTTTCACTGGTCCCCACTCTTAAAGGTTCTACCATCTCCCAGGTATGCCACAGGCTGGGTACCAAGTCTGCAATATCTGGCCCACTTGGGGACATTCCAATGATTATAAACTTTTGACCACAGTAGAGTAGGGTTACACTAAAATCTGGTAAATTTAGCTGGATGTGGCAGTGTACACCTGTAATCTCAGCACTCTGGGAGGCTAAGGCAGGAGGATTACAAGTTCAAGTAAAGCCTGGGCAACTTAGTGACTTAGCAAGACTATCTCAAAGTAAAAAATTTTAAAAATGCAGAGGATGTAGCTCAGTGCAAAAGCCCTAGGTTGAATCTCCAGTACAAATAAAATAAATTTGATTAATTCAAAATTTAGGGACCATAGGAAAAACCATTAAGGAAGAGAAATTTACAATGAATTTGCTTCTAAATTGCCATGAATGCTCCAAGAGAACCAAACATGATGATATAGGGTACTTGCAGTTAACCTGTCAGTTTGGCAATACAAAAACCTTTGGGCAGCCTAATTTCAACTTCATTTTAACACAGTGATTGAAACATAAAAACCGCATGGAACTGAATAAAGTATCGTTGCATTTGGTTTAGATATTGTTTGGAGAGGTCCAGGGATTTTTAATGCAATAATACATATGGTATGAACATGGACTGTTCACTTCTATAAAAGATAGTACTAACACAAGGAGATAGCCATTAAAACTTAGAGAATATAATGTTAGAATTTGTTTTAAAGCCTACTGTTTACACAGACAACTTGAGTAACTTGTTACCCAAATAGATAGTATAGGATGGAAAATACAAATATGCTCAAGAAGAGCCCAGATAAATTCAAGAATGATAGAGGTAATAAGAGAATTCAAATACGTTGAATGTAAAGTAACATAAGAAGGGCCACTATTCATAGAGAATATAATGTTAGAATTTGTTTTAAAGCCTACTGTTTACACAGACAACTTGAGTAACTTGTTACCCAAATAGATAGTATAGGATGGAAAATACAAATATGCTCAAGAAGAGCCCAGATAAATTCAAGAATGATAGAGGTAATAAGAGAATTCAAATACGTTGAATGTAAAGTAACATAAGAAGGGCCACTATTCATCCTCTTGGGTCTTGGGGC